GAAGGGAAGTCATTCACATTTCAAATACCAGTAGGGTCCCCCAAGGTGGGCAGGTTTCAGAATAAGAATGGGAAGAAAAGCTTGATAAACTATTTACCAAAACTAACCAATGAAACCCTATGGCTCACAACCAAATATTGTCAGAAGCTGAGTGCTGGCAGATGAGAGTCCTTCATTGGAAAGAACTCAAATTCGAGGCGACACAATGGATTTCAGCATACTAGTGATTATGAAGATGGCGCAGGCCTGGGTAGTGCTTTGGTCTGGTCTACAAGGGGTTGCCATGATGCTGCACCAACTCGATAGAAAGTCACAGAAACTAACAAAGAGGTTATAACATCCGGTGTTGTTGTTGTTAATTGCCTTTGCATGTGTTCTGACTCATAGTGACCCTATGTACAACAAACTGAGGAAAATCACATAGTTGCTTCTGAGAAAATGTATTATGGCATGGAAACACAGAGGGAGGCCCCACCAAGAAGTGGAACATGAATAACAGGATGTGCTTTGGTCTATGTTATGTCTATGTTATGATAAATTGCCAAGCTTTTTAGTGAGACCAAATAAGAAATAAGCAGAGGGTAAAGTTAGAATGCTGTGGGGTTTCAATGGCTCTAATATTAGTGAGGTAGATTGCCAGGCCTTTCCTCTGTTGCTCCATTGCGTGGGTTCAAACTACCAACCTGTTCGTTAGAATTGAGTGGAGACCATGACAGCACTAACAAAAAACTAAATCCAGTGCTATGGATTCAGTTTCTTAATTGCAGCTGGAGAGAAAGATGAGGCATTCTATTCCCACAGAGTTAGGTTCGAAAACACCCAGGGGGCAGTAAGGGAGGTTGCTGACTCATTCCTCTGTGCCCCCCCCCCAAAGATAGTTACATTTTTGATACAATTAAACTGAAGGAGCATTTGTATTCACAGCATTTCAGCTTTTTTTTTTTTTTAAGGAAAATGGTTCTGATTGGTTTATTTATCTTATAAATGTACATTTAAAAATTAGTGGCTGGATTTTTTTCCTGTTTTGATCATTTTCATAATCTACTTTGCATGTTTCCTAGACATTTGTATTTGAAGTTTCTTTTAGTTCATTTAATGCGAGTCTTATCCTTCTATCTGAAGCACTATGAAACTAGTGCACGCATCTTCTAAAACACCCAAAGAATAAAAACTGAAAGCAAAAAACCCTATACCTATTGGTGTCAAATTGATTCTGATTCATGGCGACCCCTTGTGTTAAATAGTAGAACTGTTCCATAGGATTGCCTTGGTGTAGTGGTTACGCAAGGTCAGCAGTTCGAAATCACCACCCACTCTGTGGGAGAAAAGACGGGGCTTTCTACTCCCATAGTTACACAGTCTTGGAACCAAGCAGAAGCAGTTCCTCCCTGTCTTGGAAGGTCACTAGGAGTCATAATTGACACAATGGCAGAGTTTGGTTGTTTTTGAATCTTAAAAGAAGCAGATCACCAGGCTTTGCTTCCTAGGTACTGTGGGCTTATGCCAACCTTTATTAGTCAAGCACAAACGCTTTATGTCACCTTTAAGATAGAGTTGGAAACTTTACCTCTACAGTTTCAACCACACATGTATTGTATTTGTGAGGTTTCTCAAGTGGGTAATACATCAGTTCTTGGCTTCACAAGACAAAGAATTCACACCAAAACCTGGTTTGTAACCCAAGTGCGTTTCTATAAAGGGCAGGGGACATTTTAGGTTTTACAGTCTCAAAAGAGTACATGCTATTATTGCAGGGCTGCACTGGGGCTCACCACTGAACACGGGCAACCTCGTGGGACTGCGCACCGACAAGTGGTGAACTAAGGCCCGAGCGAGTGCAGAAACAGGGTTAAAAAAACAGAGATCAGCCTTCCCGCTGCCAGGGTATTTTAAACCTCTGGCTGGGGAGGCATGGTCAAACGTATTGGTTGATGGCATTGGCTGAATTAAGCGCACCTGGGCCTAGTTTGGGCCGTCCTGTTAGCCCATCTGGCTGGGGGCCTGAATTTGAGCATGCCCAGTGAAGGTCTTTATGGGTGCCTAATGCTCACCTGATTCCTTCCCAAACTCCTCCATGGTGGCCTTGTAGGCATGGGAGGGACAACGCCCTGTCCCTGTCTAACAGGTTCATTTAGTCCTTTGAAATAAAATTAACTATGGTAAAAAAAAGTGCAAACAAAAATATAGTACCTTATTGAAATGCCAGTATCTATATTCAGCAGACCAAATATTTATAATTACTCCAAATAAATCTGTTCTTGGGTGGAGAGGGGAAAAAAAATCTTAGCTTCCATTTGGGGATTACTGATCTGAGCCTTCACCTTAATAATTAAGTAGCATTTTAATATTTTTGAAATGCAACACAACCTTTAGAGCATTTTCCTTTCTTTGGAAAGGAAATTAGTATTTGATATGTTTTTTTTATTTTACATATTACCGCTTTAACTGCCAATGGGCATGAATCTCAGTCTTCAAAGATTCTGACTTGCTCCATGCAGTTTTCCCTTGTGTATATAATCATTCTGTCCTCCAGTAAGCATACCAAGGTAATTATTTTCAAATCTTTTATTCTATAGAAAGGATTTATAAATATAGAATTGTAGACATGGAATCTTCACATAATCTCTTATTTGAATCCTATCACAATGCTAACATTTTATTCTTTTTCCTGAATAGTTAAGTTGAACAGCCTATTTAAACATGCAAGCTGTTGTTTCTTTTCCTCATCAACAAACTACCTTTCTAAGACAATTCCTTGTGGCCAACATATTAATTACCTTCCATTTGAAAACGTACATGAAATAGGGGTAAATTTAAAATAGAATCATACCTAGAAAATGCAAGCAGATCAACTATAGGTTTAAAAACAATCAACAATCTATCAAGTCCTTAATAAGTGTGAATATGATTGTTATTTTGTATAATTCATTCTATAGCAGTGAAGAACTAGATGTACTTACATCTTTTGCATTTCAAAAATGAGTTGACAAAATTCTTTTTTATTACCTGTTTTTCTGGCACTTGATGAATTTAATATTTGCCAACAGAGTTAGTAGATAGGTAATCCAATAAAGTACACTGTCCTTAAAAGAAGAGTTTTTTCCCCCTGTATCTGAAGGCAGAAAATTAAAGCTATTTCTATATTTCAAACCTATGCGAACTAAGTTTTCCAGTTACTTATCTCCCAGTTTTCAGTAATGTTTGTAATAAGCAATGGACATTCTTCCTCACAAAAGGTAGAATAATCATGAATGGAATGTATGTCTCATAATTAGTATATATATAAATCTAAATCCTCTAATACCAGATTTATGCAATGAAATTTCTTTTTCTCCACATGTAAACCAGTAATTTCAAATGAAGCTGAGAAATCACTTACAACTATTATTTAATAGTACTATTTCAAAAGTAAAGAACTGTGTGGCCGGATCAATACCAGGCCACTTCTAGCAGCAAGTGACCTTGAATCCCCCCCACCCGTGCGGAGCTGACCAGAGCTAGTTGAACCAACTAGCAGCAAATGGCCTTGAATCTCCCACACACACCTGCGGAGCTGACCAGAGCTGGCTAATGGCCCCGCTTTATTCTTGACCTGCCACTCTGCACCCGGCAAGGCCCGTTTGGCTCAGTGCCCGCTTTGTTCTCGGCCTGCCGCTCTGCACCCGGCACGAATACACCTGGAACCAGGAAGACACCTTACATTCCAGAAACCCGGACATACCTGTATCTCCCAATCCCTGACTATTTTACCTTATATGGACTCAAGACAGCCCACTCACATGTTCCCTGGCCATATTAGCACCACCCCTGTAGCCTGGGGCGGGATTCCTTCAGCCGGGACACTGTGGACCATGGGACCTCGCCCAGGCTGGGTTTTTCTCCCCAATAAAGCCTGTTGGTTCTAATTCAACTAATTTAGTTTCTAGCGCTTCTCTACTACCTTACAAGAACAAGCTCATATTCTTAGAATTTCTTAATTTTTTAAAAAATAAAACCGAAAAACTCACTGTCATATGGTTAATTCCAACATAGAAACCCAATTGGACCGGATAAAACTGCCTTTGTGGGCTTCAGAGACTGCCATTCTTGAAGGGAGACGGGAATAGACAGCCTCCTTTTACTTCCCCAGAAGGGCTGGTGGTTTCCAATTGCTGACATTGCAGTTAGTAGCACAACATCTAACCACTATGCCACCAGGGCTCCTATTTTTTTTAAAAAGGTTGAATATATTTCTGTGATTAGAAATCAAACTACTATGAGGGTATGCTTACAAGTCTTGTTACCATAGGAGTATGGGGAGTAGCTGTGTAATTGGGGGGCCCTGCTGCAGCTCACACAACCAAGGTGAGCCAGTGTCTAAGCAGCAGTTTTGCAGGAGATGCAACTGTAACAACTGTCCCAATATCTACTACGCTGACCTGTCTTCCAGCTCTCCCGTTGACCAAGAAATTTCTGAACCTCTCAGGAACTCTGAAGTCTTGCTTATTAGCTACACTGACACAGAACACACCCACCAGAGGCCAGCCCCCTTCCCAGCAACAAGTGAGAGAGAAATGAGTAATTAATATGCACCTGCTATTGTTCCCTCCCACCCAAGTGTTAGCAGAAATCCCAAATGATGGTTCTTCGTGATTTCTTCATGGAACTGCTCGGTTGTGTGGAATTCTAGTTTATCTTCTCAGGAGGTTTTGTTCCAACCCAATGTTCGGCCCCCAGGGTAGGGAATACTCGAGGCTCCCAGGGAGTAGGTTCTCAGTGAGTAAGAACTTGGGATAGGATCTGCTCCATCCCAATGCCTGTCTAATCTTCTTATGAAAAGTTCCCCAGCCACTCCCAAGGGACCTGACATAGAACCTATTTCATATATTATCATATAGAAGTCTTTGTCAAGCAGTAAGAGGTTTGACATCCTCTTTCCCAATAAATTCTCTGGAAAGAAAGGTGTGTCTGGTGTGTTGAGGAAAGATCAGCTTCCATATTCAATGACACGAACACCAAGATCAAGGTAAAACATGATTATTATTGAACAACGCTTGAGATATCCAGTATCCAGCATTTTACATAAAATGGGCCTAATAGATAAACAGTTTTAAAACCGATTTAACAACATAAAAGGGTTAAAGAACTTTTAAACTATACATGGATGTCTAGTGGAAGTTTCTTTTTCTTTCAAAGATAGCAAACAGCTTTATCTGAACATAATGAACTCCATATTTTCACAGTAAATTATTTTCCAAGTTAATCCAATTATACATTTTCAAACAAAAGGAATACTTTTAGGAGATGGTCTTCTGAAGGGCACTTTCTGGAAAGTAATCCTACATAAGTTTTCGGTAATAAAGTATTATGAATATTGAAAGTGTAAACAAGGCTATTACATCAATTTTAGCTTCTAATTACCCATCAATATATTCAGAGTAAGCAATATTAACATATCGAAACATATGAAAACTTCCCCAAACATAAAGCTTCTCAACTATTTCGCTCAGGAGAATGAGTTATCTAGTTAAGGAAACTATTTACTCCCTTTATTTTGGTGAGTGTTTGAGACTGTCTGTGGGTGTGTGTTCGGTGTTTATGGAAAAGTGCAAGTATTCAAGAAACAAAACCATGTTTTACTTCTACAGTATAAACATATTTCTGCAATTCTTGGTTCCACAAAGGAACTTGAGCATTAAAGTCAACAGTTTAATTTAAATTTATAAACTAATGGATTCCAGCAGGTCGGAAAAGCGGGGCCAATGAAGTTTTACATTGTTCGTCACAACTATGAAATTTTATTCATCAACCATAAGAGAACGGGCAATGGAAAAAAGGCCTATCAACTGCTTATACTACATTAGGAGTAAAGAAATCAAGTGAACGGAAAGGAATAAAGGAGGAAGAATGTGAGGAAAGGGAAGAGATGGTCTTTAACTTTTAGAAAATGGATAGAAAACAAAAGGCAACTTTCTATTAGTCAAGTGGAATTTCGAAATCAACTCTCTGGAGTTGTACGGGGAGAGTGTACTGTCTTCAAGCAGCTATGCACTGCACACGGTCTTGGCTCCCCTCTTCTTCGGATGAGTCTGAGGTGCTGGACGAATCTCTGGTTTCTTCAGCCTGGCCTCCAACTTGAGAATTTTCCCAGGAACGCCTTCTCTGTGACAGGTGGCTCACGAGGAACCAAAGCATGTGGCTATCAAACATTCTGTGTTCATTCAAGCTGTCATCATCTCGTTCCAGCTTGTTCTTCTTAATCACGGTTTTTAATCCGCTAAAATCACTGGGACCTTCTCCTGTGGGGGCCCAGACCTTGACTTCATGATCTAGGCCACTGGACGCTAGCACAGGTAGGTAAGGATGGCGCTCAAGGCAATTAACTGACCTTCCCCTGTCTGCTTCCAGGAACTGGACTATCTGGCAGGATGATTTCTCCCAGAAAAAGATGTGCCCACAATCACTACCACTTATTATAAACTCACTTCGGGGGCCATAGAAATTGACCCCCTTCACGGTGGCACTATTCCTGTGGCCCTTGTATCTCTTAACATACTGGGCTCCTTCCTCATCAGAGGAATTAAAGAGGTAAATATCATCATCGTTGTAAGTAGCAAGGAGCTCTGTGCCATCATGGCTATACACCACGCAAGTGACACTTATTTTTTGATTGTCGAGCAAATGATGGGGGCAAAATTTCTTGAGGACACCATTGTTCACAATCGGGTTAATCTTTCTCTGGTCATAAATCCTAACAAACTGATCTCTTCCAGTCACTGCGAACTGATTGACATCGGCAGGGTTCACAGAAATGCTGTACAGCCCTACTTTGCTCTCCCTGTCTCTGACAACCACCACTGGTGAGGCCGGTTGGTGTAATCTGAGATCAATGGCGAAGACCATGCCATCTTCACCGGAACTCAGGAACTTATAGGGGGAGTCTGGCTCCAGGGCCAACTTGTGGGCGGCTGCCTTGTGCTGGGCCACACGCCTGGTAATCTTGTAATGGGGCATGGAGGCCAGCTCCGCGATACGTACTTGCCCATCACTGCCACACGTGGCTACAACAGAGTCAGCAGAATTGGGGAGGAACTTGGCCTGAAAGACATTGGTTCTGTGGCCACTGCGATAGTTCAGTACCTGCTTCCCACGTGCCCAATCCCACACCAGCACCTTCAGGTCATCACTGGTACTGGCCAGCCAGGTGCCACGCCGGTTAAAGTGCACGGAATTGACACACCCCAAGTGACCCTCAAGCTCATGCTGCAGTTTGAAGCGCTGCACAAAGGCTCTCGCCCCGCAGGCCTCAGAGACAAAGCGGGGTCTCGAACCCAGCTGGCGATCACGGAGGGCAGTGAGCACTTGCCAGCGAGGTCGGGGCAGTGGGGATGTTTCGGAGGCCACCCACTCCTCCAGGGCCCGATCCTGATCAGATAAATACTGGATCTGGTCGGTCTCATGGCACTGAAAACGTGCCTCAGCCAGACCTTCAGCTTCATCCTCCTCCTCCTCCCCGTGCCCTTCCTCCCCTTCCTCCTCAGGCCCATCTGAATGGTGTCTATGATTCAGCAATAAGTTCTCAAGGCCCTCTAGGCTTTCCACGTTGCGTTCGTCTCTGGAGGCTACAGGATCCAAACCTTGACTCTCGGCGTAGGTGTGGTCGGGTGGGCACCGATCTTGGACCCCAGGTTCCCCCTCTGGGGACCCTGCGCTCGCTGCCTCCGCTCCAGACATCTCTTCTGGGCTGCTGGGCAGGCTTGCAAGCAATTCAGCTTGGTCAGCGAAATGGCCTTCTGCTCCGGACATGGTGAGACAGTCTGCGGGCGGGTCAGTGGAAAAATCGTCAGAGACACACGGAGACACAGAGATGCCAACACAACACATCGTTAGAGACACACGTAGATACAAAGATGGCAATACACTAGGCTAAAGGGAAGGAGCGTAATGAGACAAACCTTTTGAAACTCCTGGAGCCTCAGATGTTCAATGGAAGTACAGGAGCCTAGGATGTTCAATGGAGGTACGGGAGCCCTCAGATGTTCAATGGAAGTATGGGAGCCCCCAGATGTTCAATGGAAATATAGGAGCCCCAAGATGTTCAATGGAACTATGGGAGCCCCAGATGTTCAATGGAAGTATGGGATCCCCAATGATCAATGGAAGAACGCGAGCCCCCGATGTTCAATGGAAGTACGGGAGCCCCGATATTTAATGGAAGTATTTTACGGGAGCCCTAGAAGTTCACTGGAAGCACGGGGGCCCGGGATGTTCGGTTCAAGAACGGGAATGCACGAGGTTCAAAGGCTAAGCCCCGTTTCTGGTTTTGTGGGACCCGCGCTCCCACGCCCACTGTCCCAGGCCAGGTGTCCCCCCGGGGACCCTCATACACTAATGGACAGCCATGTGTTCTGCCCCTCTGAAGACGGGCGCACTGCACTTTGGGAAACATTCTTCCCAGAGAACCATCAGCAAACATGCTCCTTCTCATTGCTCTGCTTGATTGTACAGAGTATTATGTGGGGCGGGTAAAAGCCATGAAAGGAAACCGAAAGTACCTGGAAATGTGGAAATGGTCATTTTTTGAGACGGAGAGATAGAAATGCTTTCTGCAAATCAAACCGCATAAAGGAGACCTTGAGAACCCTAACGGATAGAATCCCAGATGCTTTGGTGGTGCGGTGCATTAAGCGTTTCAAGATCAGTAGTTCGAAACTCCCCGCTACTCTGCAAAAGAAAGGCTTTCTACTCCTGTAAAGTTTGTAGTGTGGGAAAACGGGGGCAGTTCTACCCCATCCTGTGGCGTCGATGTGAGTTTGTTTTTCATATGTTCTCACTTCTATGGAGTCGATAGGATGGAAGAGCCCGTGTGGGTGTCTGACACTGTAACTCTTTATGGGATAGAAAGCCTCGTCTTTCTCCTGTGGAGTGGCTAAGGGTTTTGAACTACAGACCTTGCGGCAAGTAGTCCAACAGGTCACCCACTCTGCCACCAGGGCGTCCCCAGGTCTCCTCCAGAATTCCTATATAGTTGCCAAATAAAATGCACAATACTGAGGTCATTACGGTATAACTGGATAGATAAATAATGAGGAATATTAGTACCAAACCAACTCACTGCCATCAAATTGATGATTACTTATAATGAGCCCGTAGGACAGGGTAGATCTGCCCCCATGAGTTTCTGAGGCTGAATCTATTTATGAGTAGAGAGCCCCATCTTTCTCCCATAGAGCCGCTTGGCCGTTTTCAACTGTAGACATTGTCATTAGTAGCCCAAGGCACAACCACTACGCAACCAGGTCTCTTTATTTTCGTACAACCAGGTCCCTAATATTTCATGGGACATGTAATAAAGAAAACAAACAAAAACCTTGTTTTCCTGAAACTGGAATATCACATGCATCCTGTATTTTATTTGTTAAATCTGGCAATCTCTCAGGGAGCCGAGAGCGAGTGCAGTCCCTCGGTGTAATTAAGGCAGAAATCCCCTGGTCAATTTCCTGTGGACACTTTGGTGAATAACTCCATCGCTAATTTCAGATGGACTTTACCCTTTTCCTTTCTCTCCAGAGTTTATAATTAATTTGGAGTTGATTCCAATAGAGGCACTTGCAGAGTACCAACACAATTTTATGGGAAAAATTAATTTTTTATGTTACAGAATTAACAAAATATCCTATATATTTCCCACAATCTATTGTTGACTTTTTTTCCTTTTGGTCTTTTAAGAAGAGAAAACAGGTCCATAGAATTGTTTGACACTCAGGTTTACTTCTGTCATTTCTGCTCTTTCTCTTCTTCTTCTTCTTCTTTTTTTTCCATTTAAATCTTTATTCTAATCGGGTGTTTATCCTGAAGTATAATGTGAGCCATGGTTGCGCAGTGGCTCCTCATTGTACCACTAACTGCAAAGCCAGCAGTTTGAAACCCCTAGGCAAACACTGGAGAAAGTCAGGGCTTTCTACCCCAGTAAGGAGTGGCAGTCTCAAAAACTTGGGTACTCTACTTGGCCCTATAGCGTCGCTATGAGTACTGACTCAATGCCAGTGAGTTTGGTTTGGTTTTATAATGTGAGAGAGAGACCCTAAATTATCTCCCTCCCCCTCCCCAACGGTCTTTAACTTGTCCAAACAGGATTTATTTTTAAAATTCACTTCTACTTACTGATTTTTTAACGTCGCTTTTATCATAAGCTTGTCTCCACCTTAACTCATTGCCATCTAGTTGATTCTGACTCATAGTGACCCCATAGGGCCGAGTTGAACTGTCCCTGTGGGTTTTCCTAAGACTGTAACTCTTTAAGGGAGTATACAACCTCGTCAATCCACCAATCCACCATCAAAGCTCCCAATTCCCATATTAATGTAGTTTATTTCTGAACGTCCCATCCTTGTCCACTGTTTTCTCTGTTTTACACAAAAACATGCTTTTGATTGTAACGGCTTTGTGGTATATTTTCATTTAAATACCATGTAGTGTTAATTTTTATTGATTTTCTTTTACAATGCTTTCCTCTCTGCTTCTGCCTATTTCTCTTCTATCCATTTACAACACTGTTTGCTTCTTTGTAGCACAAATACAATGCCAAAACCAAACACCACCAACACAGACTTGTTGGTACTTGTGATAAAACTTTGTAAATTTTATAATTTATAAATAAACTTTAATGGAAATGTATATCTTTGATCTTCCTAGCTAACAGGTAGTATATTCTTCCAGTTGTTCAACTCCACTGGAATCCTTCCGAAAACCTATACTTTTCATTTTAGGTTTACTTCTAGATGTATTTTCTTTTGCTCTTACTATTGTAAATCAATATAGTCTGCTTCGATTTTTTTTAAATGGGCTTTGTTTGTGTGTAAGAAGTCTATTGAGAAGTACTAATTCCATATCCCAATAATTTATGATAGCTCATAATTTTCCAGTTTATTCTTCTGGGATTACAAGTACACATTCTCATCATCTGCCATCTGAAATACGCTTCTATCTCTAACGATTCACATGCAAAATGTATTGTTTAATGCACTCTAATAATAGTAGTGGTGGTTGTGAGCATTTTGTCCCCTTCTTGATTTTTACTGGAAAAACTTAAGACGTATGCTCTGGGATTAAATTGTGCTTATATGGAACTTTTACATGAATCAGGAAGTAGGCATTTCAACAGAGCAAGAATCGCTTCATGGCTTAAAATTGAAAGAGGTGTGTGTGCCAGGGTTAGATCCTTTCATCACATTTATTCAATCTGTACCCTGTATAAATAATCCTAGAAGCTCGACTAGATGAAAAAGAACATGGTATGAAGAATGAAGAACGACCATTAATAATCTTCTAAAAAGAAGCCCTGGAAATCAGTACTTGTAGATCACCAGCTGATCCCAGGGAGAAAGGCAGTCTCTGAAACGCACAAGCTAAGTTCTACCCTGTCCTAATACAGTCATTATGAGTTGGCACTGACTCAATGACAGTGGTTTTTGTTTGTTTGTTTTTAAAGATGTAATAGGGAGGCCTGGTGGTGTAGTGTTTATGAATTGGGTTGTTAACTGAAAGGTCAACGGTTCAAAACCCCTAGCTGCTCCTTGACAGAAATATGGGGTTCTCTACTAACGTAAAGAATTACAGTCTCAGAAACCCACAGGGCCCAGTTTACTCTGTTTTATAGGCTAGCTATGAGTCAGCATCAACTCAGTAGTGGTGAGTGTGATGTTGACATTTTGGTATATGCACATAACACATCTTGCTTGCCCTAAATGAAGGCAATTTGAAGCACTTCCTGATAAAGGTCAAAGACTACAGAAAACAGTAAGGATTTTACCTTAAAGTAAAGAAAACAAAAATCCTCATAACTGGGCCACCGAACCACCTCACACTACTTGAATCAACAATCAATGTCCGTGGAAGCAGTCCACGGATAGCCTTGCTAACAGACAGCATCTAAAAGTGAATTATGATTGTACTTAGGTAACTACATTACAAATGTAGTTAGGTAAAAATGTAATAATACAATGATACATCAGTTGTTAAATAGCTCCAAGCTATTCAAACATTTCACTACTACAACAGCAAATTTTGAGAAAAAAAAATCTGCCAGGTGTTCGTAACTTTGCTCAAGAGTCAAACTAAAAATCTGAAACTTTGCTCAATAGTTGAACCAAAAAACTGACTTGTACAAACCTGTACAAGGTCTAAGCACTGCTCTCCCTCAGACAACATATAGTGCTGGTGTTGGTGCGTTAAAGCATTTGGCATTGTGCATTCTTTATTTGCATAAAATACCCTAACAATGGCGCCAAAGGAAGAGCAGTAAAGCTAAGAGGAAAATGTGAGAACTACAGAGAGTTAAAGAATGGAATCATTGGGAAATTTGTAAGCACAGCACACTATACAAATTTTTTCACAGCATATTTGTATGCAATGAACAAAGGAGCCCTGATATCACTGTGCAGTAAGCATTGTATTACTAAAAGGCCGGAGGTTCAAATGTATAGTTGCTCCACTGAAGAAAGAGAAGGATGCTTACTCTTGTAAAGATTTACAAACCCTATATAAAGTTGCTGTGAGTTAGAATCAACTCAATGGTAGTGCGTTTTTATAAGGAGAATTATAGCACTAGTGAGGTGTGAATGGCTTAGAATAATCAGCACTTTGAGCTCAAAAGGGAAGCATTTGTGCAAGGAGAGAGTTCAGCAGGTTAGTAAAGAAGAGGGAATGAAAACAGAATACACAGGAAGGAAGTGGGATAAACAAATGATGTTACCTTGAGGGGGATGCAATGAATGAGATGAAGCCAAATCAGTATGATTTGTTGAATGTGAAATTG